ATGTTTCATCAATTTCAGTCTGAAGAATTTAGTAGAATTCTTCAATTTTTTTAATTGTCAGTCTTAGTGATTGGTTTGCTAATTTGAATAACAGTTGTATTAACTGGTCTTCCTTGTTGGCATAGAGATATTATTCTATCACACACAGCATTAAATGCGTCACTTCAAGTTAGCTCTTGAAATGTCCTTTTTGATGGTGAATACAACGCCATTCCTTTTGGGTTTGTCATTCCTGAGGCAGTCCACCATAAAGTCGTCTAATTCAGAATAGTAAATACCAGTCCATTTCAGCTCACTCGTGCAGGATATTGATCTTTATGCATTCCATTTCATGTTTGACAACTTCTGATTTTCCTAGATTCATACTTCATGCGTTCCAAGTTCCAGTTATTAACGGATGCCTGCATCTGCCCCTTGTTCTGTGTCCTGCCCCATTGGCAACTGAAGGCGCCAAAAGCCTGGGTCTAACTCACATCACGAAGGCAGCCTCCAGTCAGCAGCTCTGTCCCAGTTGTGGTTTGAGGACCTTCCCACCTGAGTGCTCATCAGGTTGAGTGCTCATCTTCTGGCCCTCAATCTGACAGTGTTCACCTACCACTTATAAGGTTTTCAGGAACTAATCCTTCAGAAGTGATCACCTATTCTTTCTTCCTATCTTTTCTGAGTCTGGAAGCGCCACTGAAACCTGTTCACTGTGAGGGACCCAGCTGATATTTGAAACACTGGTGGCATAGCTTCCAGCATCACAGCAACATGCAAGTGACCACAGTGAGACCAACTGACAGACAAGTGGTGGACTAATACTGTATTTCTTTTCTTTCTTTTTTTAAATTTTAATCATTTTATTAGGGGCTCATACAACTCTTATCACAATCCATACATAAATGAATTGTGTAAAGCACATTTGTATATTCATTGCCCTCAACATTCTCAAAACATTTGCTCTCCACATAAGCCCCTGGCATCAGCTCCTCATTTTTTACCCTCCCTCCCCTATGAACCCTTGATAATTTATAAGTTAATATTTTGTCATATCTTGCACTGTCTGGTGTCTCTCCTCACCCACTTTTCTGTTGTCCGTCACCCAGGAAGGTCATATGTAGATCCCTGTATTCGGTTCCCCCTTTCCTACTCACCCTCCCTCCACCCTC